GGTAGATGGCATAATTTTATGGAGACCTCCCCACAGTCTCGAATTGTTCTCATTTCTCATCCGGGCTTGGGACCAGCAACGGCGGTCGTTTCATTCAATATGTTTATTCATGTTAATATATTAATTAAAAATAACCAGAATAATAAGCTGGTAACGACTATGAATTTATTGGCCGCTTATACGGTCATCTCCCAATGAATTTACGATTGACAAATTTAAGCTCTTGCATAATTTCAAACTCTGTTTGATCATTCTTCAGTTACGGTCTCGACCTGATTAGTTTGAAAGTTCAGTGATGTATGAATATCGTTAGTGAATTGTACTTTCAAGCATAGATAAAACGCTATGAAATTGGCCAAAGTTGAACAGCAAGTAAATGACAGTGGCAATAAAATAAAAAAGGTACACTTTGGACAAAATCATGAATGAATCTGCAATTACTGTACATCGGTTCGGTCGCAACCTACTAACTGACCAGGTGTTCCCCGGTGTTTCACTTTTGTGGATGACCTGGATTCGTCAGTTTAAACCTATAACTAAACGGTTCAGTGGGACGTCAAAAATCTGCGGATTGAAGAATGACCAGGAATAGCGACAGAATGCTGCAAATGGGATTTTCTAGACCGTTGGCCTGCAAAACTTGCCATGTCAACTGTATAGTGTCGCAATACGTTGTCTGAAGAAAAACTCGTCGGGAAAAAATACCTGGGGTTGATTGTGAATGAGTGCCTTGGCCAGGAGCAACAGATGAACGTAATGATTGATAAATTGGGACATCGGTTTCGGTTTCGGTGTTGCGAAGATCGACGAGGTCTGTTTTGGCTCAGGAGCGTTGAAAGACAGACAAAATCTTCCATTCTGCCATAATTCCTCTATGCTGGACCGTTCCATTTCAACAGTCTCTTGAAAAAGCGGCTGACTCATCCGGAGCCTTTTGAAGCTACGTGGCTGACTGTGCAACTGCGACGCTGATGAGGTTTGGTGAATTCTAATCAGATGTTTGATAAATGCCACCGTTGATTTGCGTAGATAGATTCTAACCTCCACCATTCACCGGCTGGCCTGTGTTTGAAACAGTCGGTTTCGAAGCGACCAAGCACAAGATCCGTGTAAATCCCTCACAGGTGCCAAACCGAGTCTTACAGAAGGTCAGTCGTTCCGTTCGTTGTCTGACATCTGATCTATCCCGAGAAAGTAAATCTGTTGCTTTGGATCAGGCTGGCACTGACAAACCTCAAAGGGGTCCACCTTCATGCTGCTTTTTGTCACGTTGAATTTGTGTATTTTCCATATCAAAATTTTGACAACTTATCCAGTTCCTTAACGTTCATTTATGTAAGCTTTATTGACTGGCTGACTGGCCGGCTGGCAGATGTTGGGTCATCTCTCCGTCTCGTTTCGTATTTGCGTCCTTGATTTTTGCTATCAGCATAATTTCGCAGGTTCAAAAATATGTTATGATTTCCGACCACGTCCCTCCTTATAGTGCAGCTGCTCCTCGCATGTTTGCGTCATTGAGTGATTAGCCGAGTTTGTGATAAGCATCGCGTGTGAGACCTTAATTAAACGCCACTGATCTGAGTTATTATAAGACATCGATGTCTCCGTTGCCGGCAATCGGCGTGCTATAATTCGGACGCAGAACGGTTGTCGGTCGTAGAACGGGACACTAGGTGGCGAACGACGGCAGCACTTTGTCCGTGGCGATGTCGAGAGACGTTTGTTTCTACTTGCCCCTCGGATCGGTCCGTCAATGGCGATCAAGAAGACGGCATATTCGGAGTTCAATGGCCGGTTTCCGCTATTATTTTGGCGACTGAGGTACCTCCATCGGAGCGGTCATCGCCGACGAACTTCCTGCGGATAAATTTTTATACGATCGATCACTCAGCCTCATGTTTTACCGCACAATGTGTCATTAATAATTAAGAAGACCCGATTAATGTGAAGCAACCTAAACCCGTGTTTCATCGCGAAGTGAGGTTTTTGTAGCGCGCGCGACCGTCGATCGTACGAGCATGTCGATGTGCACTGTGACAACTGCATTTTAGCCCCGACTGGTTGGCGCCATGGCAAGCGTCGATAGCATGGTTTACAGTGGCAAGGAGTGCAACCGCGGAGGCGGAGGAGGAGAAGACGGCGAGGGAGCCCCGGATTTGTACGGTGAATCCGAATTGGACAAGATGAGCCCGGTGTCGGTGTACTCGTCTTTCGCAGATGACGACCAGGGATCCTCCGAGCAGAAAACGGACTCTGATGGAAGCGTACCCGACTCCGGGTGCCAGAATTTCGTCCGAGCGCACAGTACGCTTCCTTACCGTTTCGCGGCACAACCAGCGGAGCAGCCGGGCGTCGTCGGCCAGCGCCAGCTGAAGAACAGCATTTTTGAAGGTAATGTGGATCAAAGTCTTGTGACCGTAAATCGCCGTTGACTCCTGTGATATCGACTAGCTCTTTGAGGAGCCTCCTCAGCGATCCCTTTCCCTGCAGCTAACTCCATACGCCTGCAAGACTTCCCGCAAAGCAGAGATATCGTCGCAGGCGCTCTGTCCTGTCAGCAGGTAGTGATCAGGGGAATCAGCTGCTTGGCGATTGATGTATGTGTTCTACGCATTTCTGCAACCCA